AAACCGATATGGTGATCATTTTTTAACGTGGCTACCAGGTGCTGATGAAACCGATATGGTGATCATTTTTCACCTGGTATTTATGAGCTGGTACTGAGAATCATTAAAAGTTTCATGTTTTTTGTCTTATGAAGGTACAGATAATATTACACTTACTGGTACAATAACCTCATTAACTCTTTCAGCACAGGCTTGATCCCTGGGACTGACCTTGTAACCATTTTGTGATTGTTATAGTTTTCATGCTATAACTTTTAAATACGTAAGCGTACGTTCACGAAATTTGGCAGATTATCAATCAACATTACGATGCTTTCATAAACAAAATATCAGATTTTTTTAATAAGTCTTAAGGTTTGTTAAGCAATGTTTTTCTCATGCCTTTTTTCTTTTTTTTTTGCATGTTGCCTATCGAACATCCAAAATCCTTATGATGTCCAAATAGTCAAACATTTCTTAAGAAATAAAACTATATTTTATCTTTTATTTTCAATAATGAATCTCTGTACGGGTTCGGTAGATTTGACCGATCTCATAATCACCATAAAATAATTTTGAAATATATATATTATGCCCTTTTCATTCTAGAATGACTACAAATTATAACAAAAAACAACACAAATGTTTAGAGAATAACCTGATTAAGACAGAGAAGTCACAGTAGCATACTGATACAATAACCTCATTAAAAAAGCAAAGAATTAAGTTGTTATAAACAAAAAAATGTGTTCCTAGAAGAATCCTGCATTTTTTTTTTCCTTTCAGGTGTTGTCGAAGATACCCGGTGCAAAGTGATCCACGCTCGTCGATCAAACCTCGTGCAGTAGCAAAGGTTTTATTAGTCTGATGTTGATGTTCTGTCAAGTGTTAATTTGGTTTGTCGTACTGGTTAATAAAGCCAGAGAAAATAAGCAACTTACAAAAGTTTCCATCACTTTGATTGCCACACATGGGTACAAAACTATTTACTTCAAAATGCTGCCATGTTTTACGCAGTGCCTCTGTCATATCCTAGCAGCTAGAAGATGAAATATCTTGTGTTATATTGTAATGCATGTCGTTTTTATTATTCTAAGGCCAGTTTTATTATTTTTGCACTTACTTCTTTGGAAATATACACAACATTGTACGAATATAATTTCAAATACTAAATAGTTATCTTGTTGAAGAAAAGCTCCAGAATATGGGGTGATAAGTCACTGTTAGGTTATCCATAAATTTTCACCACAGCAGGCCTTATTAGAATAAATCTGGCTTATTAATGACTAGGTCACATGACCCACAAGTAAGTTTTGAGGAGAAAGACTTTTTCTTGTATGGAAAACCTGACTTTTTAATAGTATTAACTGAATCTTATATTTTCACCAGAAATGTTACTGGATCCACTCAAATTTTCAAAATATTTCTAATGAATATACAGAGATTATTTTTATTTATATCTCAAAATTTTTCTTTCTTATTTTACCAAAAAAAAAAATATATATGTATATATATATTGTATTAGTTTATATTTCTCGTTGATATCTTGGTTAACGGACATATACTCTTTCTATACAATAAAAAATTTCAGATGTTCAGAAACAATCTGGTTCATTAAAAGGTCATTTATTATAACTTTTTAATGTTTCTTGTTTTTAATTTTACAGATAGCATTATAATTTTACTTCAGTATATTACTCTTTATAAAGATCATTTGTTGTTGTTGTATTTAAATGTTTCAGTATTTTTGATTTTGCGGTCTGTATGAAAAGGAAACTACGTTTCGCTCGCGTTTTTAAATCTGTAATCATCCACGTGTGATTTTTCCGCATGAAACCGTACGCTTTATGAAACTTAAAAAGAACAAACTTTTTCTCAGTAAGTTTTAATGTTCACATGAGCTTTGTATATCGTTAACGGGCCTTGATAATCTTTAATCTCTTCTCATGTAACTTCAGAAACACCAGATACTCCTAAGTGCCGGGTTTTAGTTATATGTGCTTGTCAATTTCTGATAGAGAAATTATAAAAATTTAATCTTCTTAATGCTTCTCTTAACTTAAACCAGAAATATATGGAGGAAGTATAAAATAAAAGGAATAAGAACAATTAAAGCAAGAGAGAGAGAGAGAGGTGGTTTGTCTGGGACAAATAAAATGACACACTATTTAGCCGAAACAACTGACATTTGAAAATAAAACACTGGAAAAATAACAGCAGAAAACCAAATAAAAGAACCAAAAAAAAAATAATGGTTTTTATCTTTTGAACAGATACCATACCAGGCCTTTCCAAAAACAATATCTTTTTATCTTCTTTGTTCAGCATGTAATTAAAATGCAACAGTTTTTATGACTGTGTTTTATTCACTTGTCTTAGATAAGATTGTTTTAATTGTGTCTTAGCTTTACCCGCCAGGAAGATCATTTAGTCTTTTCTTTTAACTGTAAGTTTAGAACACTTAGCATAATACGAGTTTGTTAACTTACAGCTGAAACTGCTGTGTGGAAAAAAAAACAAACAAAGATCCCGATCCTTCAACAGATAATATCCTTTGTCATTAATTAAAAAATTATAATGTTATTAATGGGTACCTCTCAGGGTTAGCGGTATCCTCTTTCTTCAGCCACTTGTATACATATACCCACGTCTCATCATTACAGCTAACTTCACTTTAAATGAAATATGTTTACATAATAATAGTAAGTTTGTGGCAAAGAATGACAGTTGAAGTTTAAACATATATATATATGTGTGTGTGTGTGTGTGTACCAGTACGTGGAAAATTATCTTTACAGTTTATTAGAGGCCATTGTAGATATTGTTTTTGTTAGCAAAGTTGTCAGATAATAAGTTTTATATGAATAGATTTTATGAATCAGATTTCATTGATTTTATCAGATCTCAAAGTCGTACTGCTTACAGTCTACTCCAAAAATGCCGTTTCTCAAATGCTCTCAGTCTTTAATCAACTAGTACAAATTAGAAGTTGTATCCAGTGAGACTTTTTTTTCATGGTTTTGTACCTCAGAATATTAAACACAGATTTTTACACTGAAAATGTATGCCTGACATAAAGTTAGTTGTTCAAAAAAAAGGTGTTAGTTGTATTGAACATGTGATTAACATTTGGTGTGTTTTTTTTTGTATACTGTTTGTCTGATTACTGAGGAATCAAACAACAACTAGAAATGTCCAATTTGTTCAGGGAGCTATTTCATATTGTGTGTACGATAAACTTTGATTATGTTTGTTAAATTTGTGTACACCAACTCATTTAGACTACATTATAGATAAATTTTTGAATTCGAAAACAATGTATTGTCTACTGTAACAGGTTGTATTTACGTGGAATATCTGTTTTCTCTGAAATAAAAATACAAAGGGAGTTTCGTGTAAAGTAATTTATCCGTAACGAAGCTTTTTCTCTCTCTTCGCGATGAGATGTTTCTATCTCGTCAAATGTTAATTATTTGAATGATAAATAACCCACAAGTCTGATTATAGTCCAAGTAGAATTCCATGTCTATTGGTTGTATTCATATATTGTTGCACGTCAGCAGGCGTGTGTCTAATTGTCGGTTTTTAATTTTCAGAGAAGAGGTTTTTTTTTTTTGTTCTGTGCTAGTCTTAAGTTGTGTGTGATTTTAAAGTTATTTAAAATTTTTGCTACTCTACTTTCAACATGGTGTAAGCTTAAATTCAGCCTTTTTATTATATGTGTATCTATAACTGTGAAATATTTGGCAGTGTCATTGCTTCATCGTTTTAATAAACATTTTGGATCTTGCATTGACTTTACTTCCTCTGTTTTAATATTTAGAACATAATACAGTTTCGGTTACTATGAACTAAAACGCTGGTTCGTTAAACAATATTAAAACAGGGTTAAAGATATGTGTGTGTTGGTTTTTCCTGTGGTAAACAAATGACAACATTGGACTGCTGCTAAAGAAAAATGGAGCTTATAAAAAGAAATAACGGTACAGATTTTTCTTTTCATTATCTTGTTAGAATTAGGAAACTCATTTACTTGTACTGGATAAAGAATCTTGGACCGTATCAGTTTCATCAGCACCTGGTAGCCACATTATAGTTATGGATTCCTTCGTATTGTTATACAAGATATGGAACAATTATACACGATAGTTATAGATAATCCATTACAGAAGCATTTGCGTCTTTGTTTTAATGATGAAGATTTAAAAAAAAAGAAAAATTGGGATGACAATTGGCCATCCGCCTCATTTATTGAAATCCAGTGAGGTTAGAGCGGCGGGTTTCTGTGCTCCTTTTGTCTGTTTGCTTAGAATTGTATAAACTAGCTATTTTATTTTTCATCGAACTTTTATTTTTATGTGAAATCATATAGACAGAACTTAAATTGGACAGAAATACACATGATCTGATAAAAGCTGCCATGCAGATGGCAAAAGTTTTTCGTTAGAATTTTCAGGTACACAAGAAATCGGTCAAAACCTATGTAATTTTGCCCCCTCCCCCTTTTTTTTTCCGTGAAAATAAAAAAAATTACTCATATCTGCCTTTCAAAAGACTTATAAATTATTGGTCAGTAATTTGATTTCTACAAACATTGCCTCTATAACTGTAATGACTAGACCAGTTAAGTTCATGTTGGTCATTTCGTGAAATATTAACACTTGTATATGGGATCTAAGTATATCATGAATTGACAAGTTTGTATGTTAACTGTCTGTAGTTTTGATCAGTGTTAAAGTGGAGCAGTAAATAATGTGCCCCAAATTTTACTCGAGAGTATGTATACCCTTGTGCCCCAAATTGTACTAGAGAGCATGTAGACCGTTGTGCCCTATGTTGTACTGGAGCATGTAGACCCTTGTGCCCCATATTGTACTGGAGCATGTAGACCCTCTGTGCTCCAAATTGTACTAGAGAGCATGTAGACCCTTGTGCCCCATATTGTACTGGAGAGCATGTAGACCTTTGTGCCCCATATTGTACTGGAGAGCATGTAGACCCTTGTGCCCCAAATTGTACTCGAGAGCATGTAGACCCTTGAACAATTATACACGGATAATTCCTTTGTATTGTTATACAAGAATCTTGTCCTTTATAAAAAAAACCAAACACAGCTCCTGAGAGCTGGAGTGATATTAGAAAGAAACATCACTGTACATATTACAGGAGATAAGCTATCTGTTAGTTGATACTATTCTTATAGGCCTATAGTTTCTTATCTAAATAGTGGTACTGTATTATCAGCTATTGTTACTTATTAGATTGAACAATGACACTTTCAGTAAAAGAGGTGATAAAGAATTGTGTAGAGCTAAGTAAACTAAATATATTGTTTCACACACACTGTGGTGACTTACTAAACAGTTTCTACTGTAGAGCTAAATAAACTAAATATATTGTTTCACGCACACAGTGGTGACTTACTAAACAGTTTTTAGTGTAGAACTAAATAAACTAAATATATTGTTTCACACACACACAGTGGTGACTTACTAAACAGTTTTTACTGTAGAGCTAAATAAACTAAATATATTGTTTCACACACACACACAGGTGACTTACTAAACAGTTTTTACTGTAGAGCTAAATAAACTAAGTGTATTGTTTCACACACACTGTGGTGACTTACTAAACAGTTTTTACTGTAGAGCTAAATAAACTAAATATATTGTTTCACAC